ACAGTAGTATTGCATTCCCATGCCGCCGATCAGCAGATGATAATAGTATAGTATGTTGGTGGTGCTTCAGTGGCTGGTGGTGCTTTAGTGGCTGGTGGTGCTTCAGTGGCCAGCTAGCAGTGGTGGTGCTGATGACACCGACCTGGCAGTGGCTTCAGCCGCCAACTGACTGCACGTTCTTTTTGCATGCCACCGGTGCAACATCCGCAAAGCCTCGTGATTAGTGGACATTGCACTCGAAGGGAAAGGAAATCGCATAGAAATCGAAATCAAAACAAATGTAGCCGTGGAATGCTGAGAAAATTAAAGGAAAACGACTAGCAAGTGCTGATTGAAAAGCTTTAAAAACTCTAGAATATTTCTAGATATTTTAAGCTTTTAGGAAACAGTATTTAAACATATTTTCATTTACTGAAAATATAATTAAATCTCTGCATGAAAATATTAACTCTTTCAAATGTAAAGGAATTGGAAACTTAATAAGTTAAATATTAAAATGTTATCAGAAAATGTTTTAAATATATTTGTTATACATCTATTTAGAAGAAACTATGAATAAGCTCAATGTAAATATTATCTTTGGTTCATAGAAAATCTTAGCCAGACCCAACTGGAATGACTTCCGCTATACCTATATATTATTACACCCCTCGAATACCCCAACTAAACAACCAACTATGCGGAATTGAAAACCACTTAAATACTTTCAGTGACCCGAGACTTCGATTCTATTCCCGTTTCGACAGAAATACCTCGAATTTGGACATCGACCTGATCGAGAAGCTATAGTAGCTATAGTCTGCGATGGCGGGGAAGTTGGATATAAATTGATGCTGGCTAATTACGCGGCAACTGTTTAAATTTAAATGAAGGCAGACGAATTTAGACATTATTTTAGCAATGCAGAAGCGAAAAGAAGTGCGCGCGGAATTTACGCTTTCCGTATTTATTTTCGATTTCGAATCGCTGGCATCGTGTGAACCAATTGAAGAGCACATTGAACGAATCGAACGGCAATTAATAACGAAACACGCTCACACCACAAACAATATAATAAACACAATTAATCCAGACAAACTATAATTATTACGTAATTGAGGTGGGCTGTCCATTATGCATCTGATTTGTATTCCCCGATAAACCAACGAGGGGAACTGGAACTAATGCTGCTGGTCGATGGTCTATGGTTTCTGGGTTTTTATTTTTTGGTTTGTGGTGATGTCTTGGCCATCGATCAGCGATCAAGACAATAATGGCACCTCCCTGCCCGCCGCATTTCGTTATAAAATTCGCATAAATCAACGCAAATAATTAAGCAGTCGCAGAGCATTCCCCACGAGACGCTAATATCGAGAGTTTCCAATCCATCTGCACAGACGCGGGCATCTCATCCCCAGCCAGCAGACATCCAACAAAACGTAGAAAAATAACAACAAAATCCCAAAGCAAAACAAAACAAAAACCATCTCAAAAAACACAAATTAACAAATTCACTTTTGTGGTTTTTATTCATTCGCATAGTGCGAAAATGAATAGCAAAAGTGCGAGACGAGAGTGAATCAAAGATAGTTGAGATAGGTTGGAGATGGATTCGAAGATTTAGATGAAGATTTGGGATTAGGATTGGAGAAGAGAGCTTTGAGGTGTTCAGAAAAGTCTTAAGACAGCTTAATTGAGTTGAATAGGGGATTTTGGGCTTGTAAGTGGGTTTTGGTAAAGAGATCTAATAAAGAGATTGTTTAGATAATTATGCGCTTTAGAAGAAAATAACTTATAATGGATTAATAAATTATATGCATACATATATAAAATGAGGGAAACTAGTATTTATACTACTATTAGGAATTATTAAAGATTTCTCATTTTTTAAACTGTATTGTTGGAGTGTTGTTATAATATTTAAATCTCCATAGCCTTCAATTAGCGGAACTGATTGTCCATAAAATTGGGCACTACACATGTACTGGAGAACAAAGAACATGTGGACATGCAAAAATGTTGACATCCTAACCATGTTAGTAGGCTACACCACTGACGCCTCGCGATACACCTGTGCCATCGTCTTCATGGTAGAAATATATATATATAAATACAGGTAAAAAGAAATAGCCAACGCAACTTGGAAGGCGACTACTGGTCTTGGCAGCCGTCGGAGTTGCAGATGAAGTTGCTCCATGGCAGCCGGCGAGCGGGGAGAGTATGTTTATTTATTTATTTTCCTCTGTTTTTTTATTTTTTGTAGTAGTTTTTTGGGTATAGAGTATCGCTATGAGGAATGGCCAAAAGCGGCAACAATCAACAATGGCCATCCCGACAGCTGCCGCGGAGATAACTCACAACGCACGACGGATCGTGAATATCTGTACAATGAAGTAGCCTACGAATTTTTATTTATTTTGGTTTTTGTTTTTTGGGTGTCATAGATATGTGAGTAGGTATTTTACGTTTTTGCATCATTTATCAAGCTCATTTCGCTGGGGGTTAATCAGCGAGGGAAGCCGAGATTATCATGATCTTTGGTCGGGGAAGTGCATTGAACAACTTTATATGTGTGATGCGAGTATGTGGCTAAGGCGAACCTTTTATACAGTCGCTTTGGGCCATGTTGAAATGCAATTGGCTACGCCCAGGAGATGTTGCCATGTTGAACGGGGCGTATGAGCAATCAAGCCAAATCGTAGGTGAAACGAGTGAAAGAAACAATATTTTCACACGCCCTACCATGAATACGAAATAAAAACAAGAAGAAAAAAAGGGGAACCGAAATGTAAATACTCGTATGAGAAGAAAAAACCGCTGACTTGTGATTATATTATAGGCATTTAGCCAACTCATCCCAAGAGTCGACGTCATCAGCACGTGGCCAGCCATAAAAATAATGTAATATAAATAATTCCGAACTAATTATGATATATATAGCGATGCACTCTGACGCAAAGAGCGAGTGCAATCTCTGCCATCGCATAAAAACGATTTCGTCATCTATTTTCCTTTTTCCCCTTGTTTTTTTTTTTGTTTTTTTGCTGCCTTTGATGACGTTTTCAGCACTCGTGCCTCGGGAAAATACCCGTACTGTGAAAATTGTGTGCCATGTAATCCGTTAAACTGGCCGATTTCATGGCCTCACTGGCGTCATGGCTTATATACTAGCTATGGATGCACCTCACCTGGTCATATGTTCTTCCTCGATTTTTTTTTTGCTTTGGTTGCTTTGGTTTGTCATCCGCTGTCGGGCACTTTTGGCGCCCATCGCCGTTATGGTAATATATAGCCAACTTATAAATAGAGATGTTTGTTTTGCCACCGCCAAAAGTGAACTGAATTTAAGAGCATTTCTATTACATTTTAAACTAAGCAATCGATTGGCAACCCTTTTATTTTAAACCAAAATATCAGAACAACAATTAAAAAGAACAAAATAAAAAAATAGTAAACATGCTGCCAATATTTACTTTTAATTTCAGACTGATAATTTATGTCTAAGTTCTCGTTTCGTTCCAAATTCAATTATAAGCTGTGCAGCGAAGTAATAAAATCCCACTTTAGTAAATGCATTTAAAAACCCATATAATAAGTTCATCTAAGGTGAAGGTAATGTGCCACTTCAATAAAACGAGAAAAAAATGCAACCACAACGTGTTAAAAAGCTAAATGCTGGGAAACACTTAATAAGCGCTAAGTAAGCCGCAAAGTACAAACGCTTAAGAAGTGGCTAACAAGTCGCTAACCGATTTTGGCCACAGCAAATGAATTGGCAAAGCCTTTCAAGCCATGGCAGCTCCACACCGCCGGCGATTAAGTGGGCTCAATAAATACACCTCCCCCCTCTATTACATTCGCCCCCTTTTCACCTGGCGCCCCTGAAACACCCCCACAAAATAGAAAAAAAAATAAAGAGAGAAAACCTAACTACTGCCCATCCATCTTCCTGGCAATGTTTGTGCTGCAATCGATGATGTTTTTATTCGGTTCTCGCTGGTTATTAATAAAAATGCATTGGCCATCCCTCGGCGTTTAATAGTGGGTTTCTATGGGCGAGTATCTCGCGTGGATTTCGAACCCCCTCTGCACTTGTGTGTGTTCGCCACAGTGTGTTTATTATGCAGCTTATAAATCATTTTGCGTCAGGCTGCGTCCGCTGCCGTCTGCTGCCACTGCGACGCTTTGCTGACGCTGGTAAACATGTGTACGACACCAATAACCAATAACAACAACGCAACTGGGACGCGCCGCAAAAGAAAATCCATACACAAGCCCTCACAAAAAAAAATATTGTATATCTGCATACAGACCAGTAAGGTCAGTAAGGTAGTTATTGATATAAGCGGTTTTTACACTTCAGGAAAGCAAAAAGATTTTAATTTAATTCACAAACAATACCAATTTATCATTAAATGCTTTCTTAATTGATAGTTTAAAAACACTGTAAGTCTTCATTACAAAAACAAACAAACTATTTTCCAGCATTTCATGCATTCTACATATATTTTTAAACTGCTATGCATGTCTGCACAAAATATTTGTATATTTCTGTTTAGAGGACAGAGCCTGGCACATTTTGCAATTTAAAAGTAATAATTTAAACAACACCATACTATTATCTTGGCAGCAACTGTTGCTGCACTCATATCTTTTATTATTTGTTTACTATTTTCACCATTTTTATGGTGTACTTCGGGTACTTTTCATGCAAATTTATGTCGTCATTGTGCGTTGTCCAACTAAACCCGCGGCCACGCCCCCTTTTTTTTTGCTGGATATGCATACTTCTTGCAGAGGTTTTCGACCTGCCTCCCGAAGCGGATTGAGCAAACAGTTAGCCGAATGCAGGCGCTTCCTAAGCGATTTGGCAATGGGCGAAGCATATTGCATATACGCCGCGTATGCGATTAGCGAATTAGAAGGAAACACCAAAGTGCCGTTAAAAATCAAGAAATGGGTGGGGAGGGGGTAAAAGAAACAACAACCGTCACCAAAAAGAAAAACCAAAAAATACATACACGTGCTTCCATTGGCAAAAAAGTGTCGGTTGTTGGGTGAATCGACGGCGGAGGTGGAGGTGGAGTTGGTCGAGTTGGAGGAACTGCAGCAGGTCAGGTGATTGATATCGCAACCGTCGGGAAATAGATTGCGGCAGGGATAAATCAAGGGCGGCAATGGCGGCGGCAAAAGGTGTTGCTGGTGTGTGTGTTGTTGCTGTGCGTTGTGTTGTTCTTGGTTGTGCGATATATGCTGATGTTGCTCTTGTTGTTGTTGTTGTTGTGCTGGAGTATTTAGATTTTGTCGGTAGCAGGAGTTATTGTTGATCTCCTGAAACAAACCGCTCTCGTACAGCGAAGCCTCACACTTGATGGCCGATGCCTGATGATGGTGGCCAATATGATGATGATGGCTGATGCTCGTATTGCTGCCGCCCTCTTGCTTCACCACAATCAGCGAGGCGAGGCGATCGCGCATTATAGATCACGATTCCTCGTTAAAGAACCCAAAAATGATGATGATGACAAAGACACAAATGCACACACACAAGCACACACAAACAGACACAGACAAAACATAGAACGAACACACTCAGGACAACACAGATTAGATATAGTTTCTATATAGGCACCTGTTTGGCGCCCTGAACGGCGCTGGTGATCCAGCACGGCGGTCAGATTGTTTTGGCGATTTATCCCTCAATTCAGTTGGCTATCGCAATGATCCGCTCCTTTCTCGCGCAGTAACTCTGATTGCAATAGTTATAATCGGGCTTCATTTTCCTCGTCCTTGCCACAGCTGTCCGTTGTTGTTGTGTGTCCTTAGACTTGAACTTGCCTTTTTCCCTCGCTTGCTCGTTCGCTCGCCTTTTTTTTCCGGCGTTTGCGCAGTGGCCAAGTGACGACGTAAGCGACGTAACGACTTACGCACGCTATAGTATATAACTTGGTTCGCTATATCTATATCTATATATGCATACCCGTATAGGTGTATGTTTGGATTTTGTTGTAGTAGGAGGCACAAGGACGTTGCTTACACTTTACACACAGATACACACACGCGACCGAGCCTCATGCAAAAGATGATTATTATTGTTCTTCAGCACGTGCTAATGCGTTTTTTAAAAAAATTTTAGCAAAACTTTCGATTTCAAAAATATCTATGGGTCTCTCTCAAAAGTAACTCGAAATTGGCGTACATTTAACTATAACACTCATACGCAGCGTTGTCCACCAAACTAAACGAATAGTTCTCTCAAGAAGGCGAAGTATAATTTAATGCACATTCGCCGTGTTGTCAACCGTTTGGCAAAAATATTACACATACGCAGCGTTGTCGACCGGCTTCCGTTTCCGCATAGAACGAATCGAATAGAGAACAACAACTTGTTGCAATTGTTTAACTCTTGAGCACTCACAACAATGCTTTTTCTTTAATACTGAACGCGATTTGTTTAGAGATTTATGTTTTATGTTTCGGTTTTGGATGATTTGAAATTCGGAAATTTAGAATCTCCGAACTCGCCTTGATTTGTTAGGTTTGTGTTTTGTTTGAGTGTTGGATTTTCCGTGAGCGGTGGCTGTTTGGTTAAAGTTGTTAACAATGCGGCGTCTGTGACGCGACTGAACTTATCTTTACGGTTACACGCGACTATATTCAAAGCGTCGCGCAGCTGCCGCGCGGGCAGCGCTGCCTCAGCTGGCGTTCGCAGCGCGCTCTCGGGCGTCTCGTGTGCTTGCGAGCGAGCGAGAGGGAGAGTGAGTGTGCGAGGGGGATGGAAAGAAGGGGGGTGAGGTGGGGTTTTAGCGAGCGGGACACGACCTACCTTTGCGGCCCGGCTATTACGTCATTTGCGGCCAACAACTGAGCGCAGCTCGTGCGAGGAAAATCGATGACGTCGTCGGTAGAGCGCCTGCGTCGGAAAATCCCCACCCCCCTCCCTCTCTCCCTATCCTCCTCGATTAGCGCTTTCCGCTTTTCCGAATGCAGTGCAGTGGGACAGTTCGGAAACGGAAATTATGTGCGTCATAAAACCGACACTGGCCATCTCTTTTGCGCACAGACCGAGATTGATGCCTGTTCTTGCCTTTTCACCTGCTCTGCTTTTTCCGACCTCCCACCGCCCCTTTTTTCAAGCTGTTTTCCAACCGCCCACCGGGCATCCGCTCCTCTCCCGCTGTCATAACTTCCATTTCCTTTCAGTTAATATACACAGGAAGCAAACTAATTGATTTAAGGATACACAATACTGGAAATATTCTGTTTGCATTTAAAATCCTTTTTTATTAAATACTTATACTTATAAATACTTATTCTTTCAACATCTAGTGTTATAAATACATCTATTTTGTAATAGAACAAATTTATTTAGGAACAATAATTAATATTAAGCACTAGCTTAATTCAAAGCTAAATTGATACAAAATGTTTTTCTTGTGTAGCTAATTTTGTGTGGGCATTTCTGTGCGTATCATTATTACAAGGAACAGGATTCCTTTGTTTTTCTGTGTGGGTGAAAGAAAGGCAAATTCTTGGGAAAAGAAGCCAGATTTCTAGAAATATGTTTATTCGTCTGAGTCCCACGTTTAAAACTGTGGGCGGTAAGATGTGGTTTTTCTAAAAGAATAACAAACTTCTTAAACTCAATTGTAAAGGATTGTTTAGGACTTAGATTTAAATTGTTATATTTAATTATAAAATATGGATCTGTGGCATGAGAAACTGAAATTATTTTCTTTTGCAACTTAAATAATGTATTTCTCGCTTGGCCTCTTTAATTTTCGCCTCTTTAACTTAAGCCCTACCAAATCGATTTCACACAAAATCTCAGGCCAATTTCCCTCCGACAGTTGGGAAAATATCATCCTGCCACTTCATAAACCAGATCACTCTTTCCCCAAACAGCAAACATAAATAAGTTGCACCACAAATCATTTAGGCAATATACCAATAACACGATCCAAAAGCGCGAATATTAATGCACTTTACCATTGACACCGGCGTTTGCAGCTCATAAACAACAACAACAACGAACGAAGGGGGAAAATAATAACAATAATGCAAAGCCAGTTGAGATCTTCTCTCCCAAGATCGGCAAATACTAAAAAAAACTAAAAAAAAAAAGTACAAATAAAACCCGAAGACACGACGCCGACTGCGCTGCCAGCGTCGACTGCACAGAGAGTGAGAGTCTGGGTCGTTCGGAACCCGAATCGAAATCTTCGGCGATCCGTTGTAGGCTCGTCTTTCAGGCGGTGTCTTCAGATTTCGTTTTCATTCGGCTTTTCTTCGGGGTCGGTCGTGTGTGTTTGGTTGCATTCGTAGTGGCTATTTTTAGACAGGTTCCAAAGCCACGTTTTCTAACTGTTGTTAGCGTACGAGCCCCGCCGCGATCTTGGTCCACACCGAGCTCTCCAATTGGAAGGCCCAGACGAAAACGTGAGATCGCTGCTGGCTCTGCCAACTGCAGCAGCGACGTCGACTGAGGCAGCGACTGAGATAGCGACTGCGAGGCACCGACTTGAGTTTTGGGCGCAGTGGCTCTTCCTTTCGTTTTGGCTAGATTTTTTCCCATAATGCTTTTGGCCGGGTCTCTGGGTCCGGCTCTTGGTGGATATACGTAGTGGCTCCGGGGGATCGGTTCAGATCGGTGTGGTATAGCTGCGCTGCTCTGTGGTGTGGCTTCCCATGTACATATATATTAGTTGGATTTGGGAGCGACGCAAGTGGAACTGGTCTGTGGCAGGCACCATGTGCATGTGGTACAGTGGCATTCGGTTAATCGGTTGTGGGTGCAAAATAATCCTGCCCTAAGGTTAGAAGGGTTTATTAACTAAAATAAGATGTGAGGTTGGGTTGTGTAATGAAATGGCAAGTGATTCGGGGGCTTAATCAAATTGATTCTTTTCGATTAGAGAAAAAGATCAAAGGAGTCCAAACAGAAATCAGAAACTGGAAGAACATACTTTGATTTGGGAATCACATTTAATATGGTTACTTTACTGTTTAATATTACATTATTTAAAAAGTTAGGTTAATATAAATTTATTAACATATTTTATTATATCATTAAATCTTATATGCAATAGAATTCTCGATACATCTTTATAAATCCCAATCTTTATTTAATACAAGATTTTACTTTGCTACTAATAAAATTCTTTTAAAATTCAGTATTAATATTTTTTGATTTCTAGTTCTTTTCTTGATGTATATTTAGTTATACATAATTCAGTTTCCTATTAGCACTTCCCTTAATAAAAATATATTATAACCCACTGTATGGGCTGCCTTTCTTGCTGTTGTTAGTGGTGTTTCTACTGTTGTTCCTTCGGTGGTGGAGGTGGAGGTGGTGGTCGCGGACGGTGGATGGTGGTGCCAGTGGTGCTGCTGCTGCTGTTGGCTGACCCGCTGGTGGCCCCAAAAAGTGCATGCAAACAGCTTAGCGTTGGAGTCTCCTTGTTGTTGTTGCTCCTATCGCAGATGTTGTTGTTTCTATTGTTGTTGTTGCTGCTATTGGGTTGCTTCCAAAGCGTTTTCAATTGCTGTTTTTGTTGTTGTTGGCGGTTTTATTGGCTGTATTAAGCATGACATACCAAGCCAAAGTCGCAGTCTCCGTCTCCGTGGACGTCGAAGTCGAAGTCGACTTCGGAATCGGCGGCACTCCTTGCTTTTGTCTCTCTGCCTTTTGTCTATTATTTATTGTTGTGGTCGTAGTTGCACTGCGATGATATTCTAAATGTGCCGAGCCAAATTCGCTTCGTTTTGGCCAAGTCAACTTGGCTGGCTGGGCCTTAATGCATGTATCATTTTCGCATCGTTGCGCCGCCAGTTCGTGAGTTTAATTTAAGGAATTTTTGCTCTTTTTGATTGCTATTTAGGCTTTGATTTTGCCAGCAACAAAAAAAAAATGAAACCAACTACCCCAGCCCCCCTGTAAATTTCAATTAGCATGCGGCACTTTGCATTGTTTTTTTGTTTTTTTTTTTTTTTTTTTTTTTTTTGTTTTCTTCTTCATCTATTGCTGCCGCATTTGCAACGGCGCCTCTCGGCTCATTTGCATAAATTGCATTTTGGGATTCGCCAACCCTTTTTTATAAACTTCACTTTCGATGCCCACTTTTTGCCTTGCCCAAAAAATTTTGTGACTTCCTCTGGCTAAACTGAAACCCCAAAAATAATACCAAATAGAAAACGAAACCCAAAACTCCGCTGACTGCTTAGCCTGCAGGTGCATTTTGTGGCGAATTATTGTCATTATGTTTTTTTTTTTCTGCCTTCGATTAACTATTAATATTTGTAACTTCACATAAATATATAGGTGTATTCCTTTTCGTTCGTTGTTTTTTTTTCTTTCTTTGCCCTGGCAATTTTGTGCTATTTTGCGGCTAAATAACATTTTTGTCGGGGGCTTAAAAGGCGAACATGTCATAATATCATCAAGTATACGCCCAGTTGGCCTGGGTTAATCTTTTTGCCAAAAAAAACGACCACTGCAATGGGGCAATGCACATTTGCGGTTATAAGTGGGGTAAGTCGATGGTTAGGGAGATGATTTACGGGCTCACAGGTAAATTATTGTGGCAAAGGCTTGGATAAATATGATTGAGTTCATGTTGAAATATGGCTTAATAAAGAGAGGCATTTTTGGGTCAGCCATAAAAAGGTTTATTATGAATACTCAATAAATAAAACATAAAATTGTATATATAAATAAAAAGTTAAACAGTTTCTTGTAAATAAATCTTTTAAAGAAGTGAGAATACAACAACTAAATCTCCTTAAGCTTCAAGACTTTAACAGTAAGCCATTTCCCAGGGCAACCGCAAAACTTATCCCATTATTCCTGACAGCGACGACCTTGAGAACTCGAACTGAGCCACCCACTCACCTCCCCCCTCGCTGAGCTCAGCTGTCCCGCTGTCTTGGAATTAAATTCCCCACGCAGCAATCGACACGCCATGCGGCTTTTCCAAAGGGGAAGGAACTTGGGGATGAACGGAAGTGCGGCATTGATTTTATGGTCTGCTTCCGTTGCGTCTTGACCGCGTCACGTCCATGGCTGGAAGCCCACAGGTCCTCCTTTCAGGTTTCCCCCCTTCAAAGCCAAGGGGGCGACTGACTGACTCGCATTTTCGTCACGCACGCCCCTAAATAGGCAACACTTTCTGCAGTTTGTTTGTCATGTGCTTATCTGTATTTACACTGAAAAAAATATATCGTAAGCTGTAAGTTCTTCAAATTGTATATTCAAATAAATTCAAACTTTGCTTAAACATTTATGAAAATTTAAGGCAAGACATTGTGTAATGGCTTGAAGCGAATTCAAAGCCTATCATATAATCAGTTTTAATAGAAACAATTTGTATTTGTTGTTTTAATCTAAATATTTTAACCTTAATAATAAGAACGCTTATGATTACATATTTATTGTATATAATATAATAATTTATATAACATATAATAATTTATGTAGGTTCTTTTTTTCAGTACACTTTTCCCTCTTCACTGCTTTTGTATCCCATTAAATATGTTCCGCCGGTATCTCGGTCCGCCGTGTTATCACTGGAATTGAATTAACTTACGCAGCTCCAGCCCCTCTG